ATAGTAATATATATGGTAATATACACAGTAATGTATAGTAACATTTATATAGTAATATATATATATTAATATATAGTAGTATTTAAATAGTAATATATATATATAAAGTAATATATAGTAATATATATATATATTATATATATAGTTGGATATTAATTATATATCTCTATATACGAAACATCACACCGAAAAAAATCAGCTCCTGCCCCTTCTGTAGCCACGTTTTCTCCCTTTTGAATAGGAGACGAGTCCAGAGAAAGGGGAGATGAAATGGTCACAGAAAGTCTTGGAGGTGAGGGGTCCGGTGTGAAAGCCTTCAGAGAAAAGGGGGCAGAGTTTTGTCCAACTCCATCCAAGTTGTGGCTCCGAGGCTGAAGCAAACAAGAAAATCTCCACTGCACAAAGTCTAGTCCAAATCCCCACCAGCTATTGGAAAAAAAAAAAGTTTTCCCCTCTTCCCCCCACCCTTCCACCCCCCTAGCTCAAACCCAGAACACACAATGCAAAAAGGAGAAGCAGCTGCAAGCCTCCTCCAATTATTGTGCTAAATTACCAAGCCAAAGGCGTTCAGAAGAGAGAGGGGGAGAGGGAGAGAAAGAGAGAGAGAGAAAGAGAGAGAGAGAACATGCAATTCTGGTACAACATGGATCCAAAACTCACCATGGCGGAATAGGTGTGGACTAACATCTGGAAATAAAAAAAGTCTTGTAACAGCTAAAAATAAAATAGTGGTGATAGTAATAATAATAATGCTAGGAGGAAAAAAAATCAAGATCTGGACATGGACGTGCTGGACACAGGAGAACAGCTTGAGGTATTTCCAAGTCTATCCATCCAAAAAAAAAAAAAAGAAAAAGAAAAAAGCCAACGTCCCCCAAAAAACAGACTGGAAACTTATATATATATATATATATATATATATCTACGTATATGATCCCCACCCCCTCCCTTTCTGAACTGTGTTGTTGTTGTTGTTGTGTGTGTGTGTGTGTGTGTGTGTGTATGTTTTTTTTTTCTCCCTTTGAGCTTCCAAATGCAATCCTCTTCAACCCAAGGCTAGGCTCAGACTGCTCGGATGCCCCCTTCCTCCCTTTCCTTCTCTACACCGCCTCATCATAATTGATATTCATGACTATTAATATTACACGACTACTTTAAAGGGAGAATGCAGGACCAAATGGAGCGTGAAGCCTGCAGCCAGCTCGAGAGCTCCCCTACTATTGTAAATGACGTTCATTCAGTGGAGAATTACTAGATGTAATCAGACGAGGGGGGCTGGCAGAGCCAGAGATGGGGGAGAGGGAGAGAGAGAGAGGGGGAAAAAAGTTTAGCAAGGAAGAGGCACAACTTCAATTAAATCAAGCAGAGGAAGATGTGTAAACTAGACCCTGCTGATCTGGAGCAAGGAAGTGAGATGGAGCAATGCTAGAGGCGAAGAGGGAAGGTGGGGGGAGGAAAAAAAAATCATATTTCCTTCTTTTATATGTAATTATATATCCCAAGGACCAGCAATGGATTGCCCTTGGTGCTTTTGTTCCTGTAATTTTTAAAACAAATAATGGAGGGGGGAGAAGAGGCTTTTTTTCCTCTCCCTAATCCTGGCTTTTAAAAAAGAAAGAAAAAAAAAGAAGTGTGCGGGCAGCCACTGTAATTTGTCTGTTTACAGCTGCAATTAAGCACTTTTACTGAATGCTACAGCTCGCATTTATTTGGAAAAGCAACATAACTAAAGAAGGGGGTGCTGGCGGCACCCATGTCTCCCGCCCTCCCCCCTCCCGTTATGCAAAAAAAAAAAAAAGCCCGATTTTCACCCAAATGTAAAATGTATGCAATGCATTTTAAAGGATGCTAAATTTATCGTTTCTAGGCAAAGCCAGGGGCGAGAGAAAACCTTTTTGATGTTTCACGAACCCGCTCAACTGGACTGCCTGCCATTTCTGTTAAAGTTCAACTTCCGTGCCTTCCCAAATGGACTCACACTTCCCAGAGCCATGCCCCCCCCCCCCCTTTTGAGCACACGGTTAATTGAAGCAGATCGGATTTTTTTTTTGTTCTCCCTCTGATCCTACTGTTAATGATATACGTCGGAGAGGGGGAGAGAGAGAGAAGGAGATACAAAGAAAACTACCTTAAAAAAATCACATCAGCTAGAAGGACCCCACCACTTCCAACAAAGAGGACAAAAAAGTCCATTGTGATAGTGTTGAGAAAGTGACTTTGTCGTGCCTAGAGTTTAATAAATAAATACATGAATATAAAGATATAAAATGCATACATATATAATATATATATATACACACATCTGTATCTATCTATCTCTCTCTCTCCACAGTTTATATAGAGAAAGTTTAATTTTTCTCTCTCTCTAGTTGAGAAAGTGACTTTGGCATACCTAGAGTTTATATCTAATAATTTACATAACATACAATATTTACTATATATATATCTATATATACACACACACACATATACATACATACATACATATTTATACATATACATATATACATATACATATATATATATATATATATAACTCTAGGCATGCCAAAGTCACTTTCTCAACAGCAGATATCTCTGTCTCTATGTATCTAGATCTACACAGAGATAGAGATGTTTAACAATATATAATGTTGAGAAAGTGACTTCGTATATATCTATGTGAGCTCTAGGCATGCCGAAGTCACTTTCTCAACAATAGCTATGTAGGTTTAGATCTAGGTATACATAGATCTATATAACTTTATGTATAACTGTATAACTATAATTATGTGTATTGTATGTGCATATTAAGCGGTAGCTACATATTGTTGCGACAGTGACTTCGTACATCTCCATGTGAACTCCAGGCACGACAAAGTCACTTTCTCTGCCCCACGAAGCGAGAGGGGATGCTGTTTCCAGACAAAACCCGGACCACAGCGATCCCCCCTCTCTCCCACCTCCACCCTAGGAGCCTCGAGTCAGAGGCAAAGGAACAACGCAAATGCAAAGCTAACCCCCAAGCAGCCGCGAGAGCTTCAAAAGTACCCTCTTAGCCTCCAACCCCCCCCCCCAAAAGGTCTCTCTGGATACTTAGGAGCAGCAGCGGAGCGCTGCCAGGGACATGCGTGGGCAGGGCAGACAATGGCTGGGTCGGGCAGGGGGATCCCGGGATCGCCCGGGCGGGGAAGCGGGGGGACCGGCGGACTGGTTGCGGGGCACCGGCCGGGCTGAGGCTGCCTCTGCTGCGGGGTTTCGCAGCCTGTAGTTGATCATTAGCCTAACGGGAGAGTGGAGACTTTCCTTCGGCTGCCGGCCGGAGCCCAGGGCTGCCCGCCCGCGACTCTCCGGCGAAAAAAAAAGGAAGAAAAAAGCACCTTTTGGGGCGGGAGTGACCTTTGCACATTTTCTCTTCATTTTAGGAAAGACTCGTCCCGCGTGCAACCTTCCTTCCTTTCTCTCTCTCTCTCCCTCGCTTTCAGCTCTCTGCTTTAAATATTCAGCCTCTTCCACAATTAAGCCCTGACTTTTGATCCAGCCGGACATCCCTTCCCGGGAGCAGAGCAAGCCCCCTACACGCCCGGGCTCGCCGTGCCCCGCTGCCAGGATCAATGGGATTCCCCGGCTTTGGAGCTACTTGACAAAACATTTCCCTTGGGTTGAACTAAGGCTCGCGTGCCTTTTTAAATCTCCTTAAATTGCGGCTCCCGGGTGGAAAGCACCCCCACGGAAAAAAAAAAGGAAAAAAAAAAAAAAGACCATAGAAATGCCTTTTCGTTACCCCTCTTTTTCATGGCGGGGCAAATCTAGCATCGGCTTATTTTAGAAGCAAATGGATGTGATCGCGTTTTGTAAAGATCCACTTCATGGACCCGCCACGGATTAGGAAATGGGTCTCATTTTTGGTCTTGATCCTGAAGGAAAAACAAAACCCCAAAGCGCTCTGAAAAAGGCAAGCAACTTTCCCTGTTCCCTGCTTATATCGCTATGCATCTCTCTCTCAATACATGTATGCGTGCCTGAGAGGTTAGATATACTGGGCATATATATATCCCACTCTTATAACAGTAGGCTATATGTGTCTATGTGTATCCCACTCTTATACACAGAGACATATATAGCCTACTGTTATAGAGATACTGTGCAGATATAGATATATCTGCACGCTACATCTATAAGAGTAGGATACACATATGTATCCGTGTGTGTGTATATATGTATATATAGCTATATATCTATATCTATATAGATATATAGATATATATATACACAAACACATACGTATTTTTTTAAAGCTTATTCATATGTACCCCAGAAATAAGGCACAAGACGAGAAAGAGAGAGAGAAAAAAACAACCCACCTCATTTTGCTTTTAGATTGGGATTGCAACTAGACAGACAGAAATGCAGCCACGTATGCCCGATCTCGGCTCCCCTTTCCTTTCTCTTTTAAGCCTTTTTAAATAGAAAAAAAAGTCCCAAACCCTGACATTTGTCCGCATTTAATCGAATTATATTTAATTCGAGATCTAAAGAATCGAACTCTTGCGTTTCAGTCGCCTCCTTCCCACCTCTCGATCGGGGCTTTGATGTTTTAAATCGCATCAAACAGCTTTCTCCCCCCCTCGAAAAAAAAAAGAAAGTTCAAAACTTGGCATGCTGAAGAGAAATCTGCAAATAAAAAAGCTTTTAAGTCTTTACTCTGACTTTGCTCAGTCCGCGTGTGTGTCTCGACATGTGCCTCGATGTATGCGCAGATCTCTATATGCATTATATATACCTACATCTCTCCCTGTAGATGTATATTTTATATACCTATAGTCTCTCTCTCGCATGCATCTTGTATACTCACCTCGTAGATATCTTCATACTTGACATTTTCGACCAGTTTCCAGAGCATGATGGCAGCCTGTTCTCTAGGAGGTGAGTGCATTCATGTGAAGAGCAGATGTCTGGATTCTCAGTACTTCTCTGTCTGTAATGATCCATCTATAATTGGAAATGGGGGACAGACACCAAATCCGACGTTCCTCTTCCATCGCAACTTATATCTGTTGTCTGAAACAATAGGCTGCAGAAGTAAACCTCAATCGGATAGTAAAACATTATCTGTTACATAGTTACATACAGCTACCGACATAGATGTGACTTTATATATATATTTATATCAATATACGCATATCCATATAGACTTATACTCCCATATAGGCAGCAAAAGGCATATACACGCATGCACACGGACATATACCAACGAATATATGGGAAGATCTAGAAAATCTCACCTAGAGCCACATATAGACAAACCTATATCTTAGCGTATATATAATCGCCCAGCACTGCATATACCTATATAGTCTCATGTATATGCAAACACATATATACCAAGCGACATATATATGCATGGACATATACTAATGTGATAAATTACAATACACATATGCATATACATGAGTGTTTATCTATATATACACAATCACATATTGCGACCCACGAATAGAGAGGTTTGATGATGCCCATTATTCTCCCAGCTGTATATAGATAGAGAGCAGATATTTTGGGGGCCCCTTTTTATATGAAAAGATAAGACTGTTCGGCTTTTTAAATTACATTGTTCAACATTTATAGGGAGATATTATGCCCCCCCCCCCTTTCTTCCACTGTGTTTTTCGTTACATGCCCAGAAATTGCCCCCCGCCCCGCAGCAGGACCCGCGAGCTGGGCATTAAGGGGGCAGTGGCGAATTAAAGGGAGCTCCTTTCATTTGCGACCCTTCTGCTCGGGACTTGAGCCGCATGTGGTGCAACTTGGGACACTTTCCCTTCGAGGCACTTTCTTAGGACATTGTCCCAGCAAAGTTCCCTATATGCTTCCACCCTGACCCCTTTGATGGGGGGGGGGGTCGGAAACCTTCCTAACCTCTTACCCACCCCCCTGTTTGTCTAGTCTAGCATTGGCTCGCCTTCTCCATTTGTCTCAGCATCCGCTATGGCAAAGGGGAGACAAATCGTTGAGGCAAGCGGAGCCCTTCTCCCGTTTTGGAAGCCGACAACTGCGCTTTGCAGTAGGCTCCTGCGTAAGAAAAGGTGTTCCTCGTCCCCGGGTCCTAGCTCTGGGACTGCCAGCTCTGCCTCGGCAGATCTTTTGTCGAGCCGCATGTGACCACATAGGGAGCTAAGCTAGTCCTTTAGACTTGCAGCAACGGAGCCTTTGCAAGCCAACAGCTGGGGGGTGGGGGGAGCTTGAAGGAAAGCAAGGCATGAAGCTACCAAGTAAATAAGTAAATCTTCATTAGAAAAGAGAAAAAGAAACGCCCCCCCCCCTTTTTGAATCAGAAAGTGGGAATTCGTCTGCCACCCCACCTCGAAGTGTGCATCTCCACCAAGCTCAACCCACCACGGGGAAGAAACACACAGCAGAGAGGTATTATATGAGGAGCCGGGCAGGGTCCCCCCTCCCCGGGGTTGGGAGTTATTCAAGCAGATAAGCAGGATTCGCTGCCGGGGCCGCCTCTGCCGCGGCGCGGGGAGGAGACAGCAGAGCTGGAGCGGGTCGGGGCGACCCCTTCCACCCAGGCAATAGTGATCGGGAAACAGCTAGTGAAAAAAGGCCGGGTAAACGGGGGTTGGGGGGAGCTGCATGTCTGCAAGCAAAACTCAGATAGAAAAATGCCAGGCTGATCCCCCCCCGCCCTTCTCCTTTTCACCTCTGGTGTTGCTGAAGTCTTTGAAGCCTATTCGAAAAGGCTAGTTCTGCAGTGTGGGGTTAGTTTTTAATGTATTTATTTTGTAGGATACCTGGTGCTCTACCACTGCTTAGCATCTCGTGCTGCTGCAAATTATACATGTGCCACGTCTCCGATGAGAGGGAGAGAAGATCAAATCGATGCATCCATCGACCACGGCTGCCCCACTAAAATAATGTGCTTAGCTGTAAATTCGGGTTCCCGAGCCCCACGTATTTATTAGCACTCAGATTTACAGCCTCCCTGCTGATCAGTGGGATTGGGGGGATTGAATTTAACGAGAACTTATTTTTCCCCCGATCGAGTGAGAGTGGAGTCATTTTAAAGAGAAACCCTGGTCCTGCTTCATCTAAATGCATAACGAGATCTACCTGAAGGAGATTAGATGCGTCCTAAAAAACAGCCGGCAAAAACGGCATCCTTCAGAAACGATGTGCGGCTGTGGGTTGTTGGTTTTATTTGTAAAACGCATTACACACACACACACACACACACGCATACACACAGACACACACACACACACACGCTTTTTGTAACTGAATGCAAACCAACTTGCAAAGGGCAACGTGTTCAGAGTCAGAGCAACTGCCTAAGGGATGTCATTTCCAGGTAACACTTCAAACCCCATCCTTGAAGGAGGGTATCCCGTTTTAAAAGTGCGGTGGCAACATGGGATTCAAAAAAAAAAAAAAAATCCCCAAACTCTCCTTCCCCAACTTTGAAAGAATTAAAAAAATCCGAGGAAATTGCTCCAAACTGACCACAGCTGAGCCGTGCACATATTTTCAGAGGAAGCTTTAAACTGCAGGCTTGGAAATCCATCATTGAGCGGGGTAAGAGCGCCCTCTGTCGGGATTGGCCCGAAGCAGTAACTCCCGTCTGTCCTGTTTAAAAGCTTTTTTAGTCCCTGCGATTTTTATGGGCTACAGCCTACAATGAGGATTTACAAACAGCTAAAGCTTTTCATTTCTAGAGATTATATTGACGGCTATTTTACCGCATACCTCTCCCCCTCACGCACGCATTTTTTTTTAAAAAAAAAATACTACAGGAAGCACAACTCAAAATATATTGGAAAATCTCCGGAGTTGCATCTGCCTTTTACAGTCAAGTAAGAGTCTCACTTTACTGTTGGGTCCAAAACGGGGGTGTGCAAAAGAATGCAAAAGAAATCGTCCCCTTTACTTATTCACACGAACAGCTCTTGTCTTTTACACACACACAC